GAGAATAACGTATATGTGTGGGCTTGCATTCGTCACAATATATATATATATATATATATACAACTGAACTCTCCCGTCGTTTCTCGACGTATGAGGGTCAAGCAACTGGGTTCCTAGGAACCGACAGCCAAACGCCCGGACATATGATTTGATTATAGTGGTGAAGGCTTTGTGCAGAACCATCCACACTTTTTGAAGGGCCGAATACAGAGATCTGGTGCCACAAGGTCCCCAAACAAACTTCCGCAGGTGGAGAATTCAGTGTCGTTCTTCTTCTAGACCAGTTGCTATCCAAGGCTATAGAACCCAGTCTGTCCTGCTATTTACCCATAGCTGGGGGAAGAAGAAAATCCGTGCCTTTCCCAAGGGTATTAGCACGTAAGTGAATGTAATGGATTCGACTAGAATTCGAACTCGGTTCTCCGATTCCTCAATGCGAGCCGCTATTACTCCACCGTATATATATATATATATATATATATATATATATATATATGTGTGTGTGTGTGTGTGTGTGTGTGTGTGTGTGTGTGTGTGTGTGTGTGTGCATAGAATTAACGCAAGTAAAAGGTTTGTCACCTATATGTGTTACCTTCAGCATCCCGACTCCAGAGTTTCGTAGACAGACACTCCGAGAATCACTCCGTCCACTCATTAATATGTTAAAATATCTGTTAATAATTTAATAGATTTATCCAGCCCCCGACAAGCGTCCACAAAACATTGATGACCGTCGGATAATAAGCCATTCAAACGATTATCGATTTATTGACTATTGTCGCTTGTTCTTTACTGGGCATTTTCTTAGCAAAAATGCTGCTTGCCTTGAAATAAGTTAAATTCTAGCATATTATATATTTATATGTGTGTTTTTTGTATGATTCTTACCATGCTATGTTATATATATATATATATATATATATATATATATATATATATATATATATATATATGTGTGTGTGTGTGTGTGTGTGTGTGTGTGTGTGTGTGTGTGTGTGTGTGTTCATCAATAAATCCGTAGCCGAATCATAAAACAATTATTTATTTTACATTAATATTAATTTTTCAGATAAATCTTTTTCCTTGTCAATCCGCTTACTTCAATATTGAATATTAATCGCATTGATTGAACATTTATATAATAAAAAGAACACGATTCAAATAAAAACATGTCAAGCTCGGGAATAATTGAGTTATACTTCGTATGCATAATATGTATGGGGCGGATAAAAAAAAAATAACATTTTTTGTTTTATATACCTATATACAGAACTGAAAGATGTCTTCGTGTGTTGAGTAGCTTTCGTGCCAGATGAATCGTAAAACAGGGCGTGTGATTGAATCACTTTAAACCGTTCTGTATTAGCCAGTTTACTTCTATTTGATACGAATGCACGAGAAACCACTTAGAAAGCTTTTAGAAAAAGAAAAACATATTGCAACTGTTAAATCAAAACTAAATACAGATAAGATTTCCGTTTATCTTAGCCGTAAAAATAAGAATGTTTATTTATTTCTACTAGAATGAAATTCGATGCCGAGAACAGAAAGCGACTTTTTTTTTTTCAAAATTAAAATTAGCCTCTGGATTTGGTGTCTGCGTCGTTCCTTGAAAACTTATTTATTTACTCATTGCCCTAAGATTTACGTGCCGCACAAATAAAAAAAATGAAGCGTGGATTAATGTAAATAATAGTTAAATTTTATAATAACGATCTTACGAATAATCAAGAGTGGTCTCCCCTTATTTCGTTACTCTCTTCTTTGAGAGATCTGATTCTGTTTACTGGGATTATAAAAGGTCACTAGACGCGAACCTTGTACTAGCAGTTGAATAAAGTTTTCTTAAAGCCTACACCTGCGTACCTCTGTCATTACAAACGTTTTACATTGTTTCATCCAATAAAAATACATAAGAATACGATATCTGCTATTAACAGTACAAATGTTAAAAAACAAACAAAAGAAATATGGCGCCGAAAGAAGTCAAGGTAATGCGTTATGGTTAGGATTTGCTATTCTGCAAACCCGTCAAGTTCTGAATGTTTATCAGGCTTCTTTAAAGAAAAAGGGACTTGAGTTCGAATCCCACTAAATGCTTATCCTTTCTTGTCGTTCTGTGTAGAATTAATGACTTAAGTAATTGTGATACACTATTTATAGTAATTAATTAACTGTTTTCATGCGCAAAACATTCGACATTTATTGGTCGAAGCGTTTGTCGTGTAAAAATTATGAAATCTCTCTTAAAACAGTTTCTTGGGAAATTATACTTTTCAAGTCCACTAAATGTTATAGATCTTTCTAAAACTGATGAGAGTTTCCTTGTAATCTTTTTTGTATTTTCTAGCGTGGAAAGTTTGCATCTTCACGATATCATTATTTATCCTTCTAGTTACATATGCTACGTAATTTAGTTGTTGTTGCTATTAGAAATCTTCGATTGATGTGTTTTTATTATATAAGATTATTATGCTTTTTTGTTATTTTGTAAAAGCTCTTTGTTTATGATCTTGTAGCGCCAGCCTGATGAAGAAATGCATGCCTTAAGTTTTATAGAATTTATTCTTTTGAAGGGTTTTTTTTTAAATTATTGATCTGAGAAAATGTTTGTATAGAGATGATAGTTTAGACATTTCTGAACAAGTTTGATGCCATCCATGATATCCATATGAGTGCTGGTGTGGCTATTTAAGAAACTGACTCGTTGTGAAGCTCATATTTTGGTTGAGTGACATCTTGCGTGTTGCATAAAACTACAATTAGCCTATCCTATGGTCGATGTCCTTATTTCCTATACTAAATTTTTTTTTATAAGTAATCCATAAGTATTTGAAATGTCTTAGAATTTATTAATTCCAAATTCTGAATTCTTTTGATGGATTCAGTCTGTGTATCCTCTTTGCTTCCGTTTCAATTCCAAATACCAGTTTCTGTTTCTGAAAAAGTTTACCTTAAGTTCTGCTTCTTGGAACAATGGTAAAGAATATTGATTATATTTACACCAACTATGAACCCCACGTCATCGGCATAGCCTGACAATTGCGTATAAGCATGAAATAGATTGTCACCACTGGGTGTTGACTTCAATGTCCACTTCTATATTTACATACGCTCTATCCCTGGTATAGAGCACTTTAACCCATAAATATAACAGAGTTGTTTAGACCGTATTTTAAGAAATCTGGACCGTATGTTAACCATCTACCTTCTTCTTTTATGTGCAGCGTCCATTCAGAACGTAGGCGATCGTGGCCCTCCACCTCGTCCAGTCCCTTGTAGCTCTTAATAAGTTTTGTCTTTTTGTTATATCTCCCAGACCCTGCTTCGTCATTCACTTGCTCAAGCCCATTAAGTATGTCACGCGTTGCTTTCCTTTGACCCTCTTTCCCTCTATCAGTCCTGTAAGTATCAGATTTTCCAAGCCCTTCTTTCTCATTACGTATCCTAGAAGTTTCAGCTACGTCTTCCTGATGTCAAGTATAAGTTTCCTCTGTGTTTCCATTCTCTCCAAAACCTTCTCGTTGCTCACATGTTCGGCTCATGGTATCCTCAGCATCCTTCTGTAGAACCACACTTCTGTTACTTCGATTATCTTCTTCATCTTTGAGAAGATTGCACAGGATTCGTTGCTATACAGGAGGATAGATATCATGTAGCAGTTCAGTACTCTTTTCTTTCCAACGAAACTTTCCTATCTCGTAATACACTTCTTAGCTTTTGAAATGCGTATCTGGCCATCCCAGTACGTCTTCGGATCTCAGTGTCGCATTTACCGCCCTCTGTCAGAACACAATTTAAATTTCTGTACCTGCTTGATTTTAGTGTCTCCATCCTGTAAATTGCTATCCACCAAGTCTAATAAAACACATTTATAAATCTATGCAGGCCCTACTATCAGCAAAATCGTCAAATGAGGATATCTTCATTGTTGCTGCTGCAGTATGACAAAATTAGCAAACACACCAACCGCTTAAAATTTGAGAAGGGGTGGTGGGCTGTGATGCGAACTACAATAAAATTAAACTCACTATTCAGTCGTAATTGATCTCGCAAAAGAAGCTTGCTAACCATTACACCATGTCGAAGTACCCTGGTACCTAGACTTTATGAATTTAAGCGAAGTATTAGATTGACGGCAAGCTCTCATCATTTTACGAGTAAAATGGCTTGACGTAGCAGTAACTTCTTTGCTAACAGTTTCTTCTGTCGTACTTCTCGCTTATGGAACTCTCTACAGAATTCTTGCTTTCCAGACAACTTTTGATCTTTAAAAATTTAAATGCAATATCAATCGTTATCATTATTTATTTTAGTTCCATCCGAAATTTTGGAAATGACCGATTGCGGAGATATTTCGATATTTTTAACTCTGTGTTTGTTTTCATTGGTCAAGTAAATGTCACGTGTCTTCTTAATTTCTGTTCTTTTAATTGTTCTCTCTCCTTAATATTTTTTTCCTATCTCATATTGTCTAACACTCAGTGACCTCTTGTGTCTTAGTGGCTTTATTTCCTTGCTTGGTGGGGGGAATGATTAAAACAAATGTATTATTTTACAATTCATTATTGATTACTTTTTCTTCTTTCTATTTCAGGTTATGGAACCCGAAATCTATTGTCTGCCTCAGTAAAATGCAGTGACGTAGAAAGAGAGATTTTAATGCCATTTTTAAGAACCAAATTAATGTTTAATGTTTTCGCTAGAAACAAAAAAAAAGGTGAGCAACGAAGAACAATCTTAGCAGCAAGTAAATAATGGATGACTTCCGATTAAAGTGACCGAAGTCAAGGTAACCATATGCAGGTATACGCACAATGTCAAGCTGCTTTTCCGCCATCTTTTGTTAAGAACAATTCCTAGGAATTATATTCTAAGCTGAAACAGCTCACGAAGAATAAAAAGCATCACAAAGAAAAACAAAAAGAAAAAAAAGAACGAAAATAATAATATAGACAGGTTTCTTTAAACAAAGGAAGACTAATTGATTATCTGAAGCCATGGAAAAGGAAAAAATCCCGTTGACACCAGAAGAAAAGCCACCCCTACCAACCATCGAATATGATGGCCTTTCCGCGTCGCACTCTCCTTTAGATGAGAAATGCGAGAAACTCCTCCCGGACAACTACGACAGCATGGTCTGCGGCGACGATGACTACACATACGGCAGCAGTAGTGTTGGAGGATGTTGCGGAGGGGGCCGCAGCAGTGGAAGCAGCGGCCGGAGGGGTAGCGGTGATGGTCGAGGCGGGGTAATATACGATAAAGGAGGGGGAGGCATGAGACTTGTTGATAAGGGAGGCTTGATCGAAGGCGGAGGAAGCAGCAGCGGAGGCGGCGTCAGCGGAGGTGGATGCGGCGTCGGGGGCAGCAACAACAACAATTGCGAGCGCAAAAAGCCCGGTAAAAAAGGCGGGAAGAACTGCAAGGTGAACATCGTCCAACCGGCCGACACCAAGGAGCCGGGCGTGGCCAAGAAAGTACGCAAGAATTCCCGCGAGCCCGAGATCCGGGACACGAACCTCGTCCTTGCTTTGTTCGTTCTCTTCTGTTTTAATTTGCCGTTCGGTCTGCTGGCTACCATGTTCTCACTGATGGCGGGCTCGGCATTCAGAGACGGCAAGAAAAAGAGGGCCAAATGTCATTCACGAACATCGATGGTCATCAGTCTGCTCGGCATTGCAACCACGGCCGCCCTGGTCATGTGTGTGATCTTTTTCCTAGCCATAAAAGAGCAAAGCCAGGGATACTGATGCAAAAATGATGCTAATGAAGACATCATGTCTGCAACGATAGCAGCATATCTACTCTCAACACCATTACGTAATACATCATCGATTGCTCTCAATAAATTATCAAAAACGAACAGTATAGAGAGAATTAACATAGCGTTAAAAATTCATATTTGTTAATTCACTTCTTATTCTGTTCCATTCTGCAGAAAACAAAATAAATGATTTCATTGTTTAACCATCAAAACTAAAAATAAATTTAAAAAACAAATTCTTCAGCTAAAATCTCTAGAATTACAATTACCCTAACCATATATAATTTCTTTATTTACAAGTGCGCTGTGGGTGTGGAGTTGGCCTAAATGTTTGTCGCACAACAATATGGAATCCGTACCGAGTTCAAGTTCTATCTGTGATTAGTTTATATTTACTTTTCGTTTTCTCTTAGGAAAGGCATGAAACGACCTGCCCTAATAGTTCATGTCGAGTACTAGTTATTGTCGCTGATACAACCTTCCTCGTGTTACCTGAAAGCAGATAAAATCCCGCTCGGTCACGACAAAAACCATGTCTGACTCATCAGGCTAAGATAATTTGATTTATATATATATATATATATATATATATATATATATATATAGATAGATAGATAGATAGATAGATAGATAGATAGATACACCTAGTGAGCCAGACAAACCTACCTACGTTTCACCTAAACGGATCGTCAGGGAAAGTAAGGCTTACTTTCCCTGACGATCCGTTTCGGTGAAACCTAGGTAGGTTTGTCTGGCTCACTAGGTGTATCTAGGTCTGCTCTACGGTTGTATTGAGCGCTTTTATTAGTTAGTTGTTTACTCGTATCGGGGTTTTTTCTTTGGGCTTCAGACCTGCATCTGTGCGATTTTTTTGTCGGCAAAAGTTCATGTTTGTAGCTCTTTCTTTTTTTAAAACCTTTTTTTCCCTCGAGATTGATTTGATTATTAGCAAATCAAAAATTCGAGGGTTTTTCGAAACGAGTCTAGTTATCTATAATTATATATATATATATATATATATATATATATATTGACTATTTCGATCTTGTTCCTGTTAACGATTTTAGGGAAGATATTATAAATGTTAACTCTTATTGAACTTATTTTATTGCTAATGTTGCATCATTATCATTGTTCTGTGTCACAACAAACTCTTCGACCGCAGGGAAAAACGGCGGGAAATCGGTAATAAAGAAACAATTTCTATTGAATGCCACGAGTTGGGGAGCACGTCTTTCATGGACGATGCATGAAAAAACAAACAAAAGCAACAAAACGAAAAGTTATTTTCCAAGTGTAGCTTAGACGTGGCACAAGGCCGAAATTATGGGGCACTCAGTGGAGATCGAACTCACTACTCGGTCGTAATTGTTCTAGCGAGACAAGCTTGCTAACCATTACACCGCCTTGGGGCGCCCAAGCGGCACTACGAATATGGAGTATAACTAGTAAATAAATATTAATGAAAAATAATTAACTTAAAAGATTTTGACAATCACTAATATATAAATTAACTGGTGACATACAAATTCACTCTTAACTGGCTTTCATGAGAGGAGTATATTTTTTTTACAATTCTTTTTAAATAAAAATAGAAACAGGACCGTTTTAGTGAATTCTCTAAATACCAAATAATTATTACTTATGTATTTGCAGGTTCAGACCAAATTGATAACATATGTCTATTCAAATGTCCAGGATCTTCCTCAGTACTCTTACTGACTGTGGTGTTTTGAACAGTTTCAGTATGTTTTCTTTTTCTTTTTCGTCCATTTGCATGTTCAAACCAGGAGCGTACAATTCTTTAAAATCCCCTTTTTTTATTAGTCCTCTCAAATCCATTCATTAGTAATCTTCTCAAACCCCCTACTTTATTAATTCTCTCAAATCCCCTTCTCTAGTAATCCTTTCAAATTCACTTCTCTAGTAATTCTCTCAAATCATCTATTTTAGTAATCCTCTCAAATCCCTTATTTTAGTAATCCTCTCAAATCCCCTTCTTTTGTAATCGTCTCAAGTCCACTTCTCTAGTAATCCTCTCAAATCCCCTACTTTAGTAATCCTCTCAAATCCCTTATTTTAGTAATCCTCTCAAATCCCCATCTTTAGTAATCCTCTCAAGTCCACTTCTCTAGTAATCCTCTCAAATACCCTTCTTTAGTAATCCTCCCAAATCCATTACTTTAGTAATCCTCACAAATCTCTTATTTTAGTAAACCTCTCAAATCCCATACTTTAGTAATTCTCTCAAATCCCATACTTTAGTAATCTTCACAAATCCCTTTCTTTAGTAATCATCCCAAATCCCATACTTTAGTAATCTTCACAAATCCCTTTCTTTAGTAATCATCCCAAATCCCTTTCTTTAGTAATCCTTTCAAATTCTACCATAATCTAAACAGTTTTATCCGTATAACCTATTTGTTATAAAATTCCTCTTTGTTGACTAAATTGTCCATTTTTTTTATTTCTACGTGCATTTCAGGATTTTTCTAATTTAATTTTCTGATGAATCATAATTCTTAAGTTAATGATTGAATAAACTCCTTCCGAGTTTTATGACTATAAAAACCTGTGCAAATAACCTTATTGCAAGGTTAAATATTAGATCGTAACCACATTTTAAAAAATATTGCTATAACAATCATAAGTACAAATACAGGTCATTATTTAAAGAAGTAAGAGGGTACAAATGAAAAGATTCAAAACTGACAAGTTTTTTTTATTTCATTAAAGCAGACTTTAAACGCATGAGAGCGTTATCGCCTTCTCTATGTTCCCTTTCTTTCTTTCGTTCGTTCGTTCGTTCGTTCTTTTTTTATTTACGTATGCTTTCTTTTTTTAAAAAAACCAAAAAGCGTTTCATATGTATATATTCTTCTCGCGACTTTTCTCGCAATCAAACCGGAATGGTCTATTAGTTATCTGAGGTAATGGCAGAACTTAACGCACATGTTAGCTTACATATTTATAATATGATTAAACGAAATATCAATTACTGCTTTTAGCTGAAAACACCTAAAAACATTATTATTATTATTATTATTATTATTGTTGTTGTTGTTGCTGTTGTTTTTGTTGTTGTTATTTCCTGTATTTACACGTTCACAACTGATGTCTGCAAGTTAACACGGGAGATTACATTGCGGCAAGTCTCCTCATATTTTAAGCACAATTTGAGGTCTGCGAGTATCCTGGCAGATGCCAAATTCCTAATTCAATTAATCACGCTTCTACTGATTTTGATATGATTCCAAGTGCGCTTACAATTAGAGGCCCAACTCTGACCTTCATGTGCCACACATTTCCAGCTCCCAGGCAAAGTTCTGGTACTGTTTTTTTTTTTTTTTTACAAGATTTTGTATTCTATATTATTCGTATCATTACTATTATTTGTAAGTGAAGGCAATTAATATTTCACATTATACAAAAAAGTATCTTTTTTTTTAATTTAAATCCATCCGAATTGAATTGAGATGATGGTGTTGATGTCAGTGTTGCTACTAATCGTCTGTCAGACTGATACATTTGGTTACCGGTTTTATTTTTATTCATGAAAAGAAAAAAACTATGTATTTGTACCGTTTCAGATATTTTCATGGTGGCGTCACTAGTTTTTGATCGAAACATGTAGAAAAGAAATGAGAATAGCGCGTTAAAACGTGTCAGAGCAAACATTTTATGATAAAAATGTGAATTTCAATCAACCATTCAATATATATATATATATATATATATATATATATATATATGCAATTATGCTCGTCGTTTTTTTTTTCGAAAACATATACTTAATTTTCACATCAATCATTATTTTTTTATTAAAATCTTTTAATATGAAATTATTTTGACTTAATTCTGATCAGTAAGTTGAAATTAAAAAAATATTTTTTTATCTCAAATATATATATATATATATATATATATATATATATATATATATATATATATATATATATAGTTCAGTTCAAAGCCCAAGCCGGCAAATTAATTACTAAACAACGGTTATACGAATAAAGTGTGGCCAATGCAATTTCAAATAAGGAAATACAGACTAATGCAAGACATTAAATTTCAGAGAAAAACTATCCTTTCCGCTATACCACAGAAAGAAATTTTTATTTACTGCCTGAAGATGTAGGGAAACCTTGGTAGCAGTAGGCTTAATTTTTTCCTAGAAATTTTAATTTTATGTCTATATATATATATATATATATATATATATATATATATATATATATATATATATATATATATATTCATTTTATAAAAATATTTGGGAGAGCTAAAAATAATGTAAGATATAAATATTTTACAACGTTTTATGTACCATAGTTCAAATAACAGAAAATTCTATTTCTACTACGTCATCAGAAGGGTCCAATACATAGAAATGTATATAGATTTACCTATCGTCACCGTTTTTTACAAATATTCAAGTGTTACATGCACATTATATCTATACATGTCTGTGTGTTTCACGGATAAAAAGGCTCTAACTCATAAGATCGGCAAATAATATTCTATTCAACATTGAATAAATATGGAGTGTTACTTCTAAAGTTAAATATCACATAAAATGTTACGTCTACTACGCTGACCTGGATACTTCTGGTGAAATATAAAATGTTACACCCACACAAATATGTATATATATATATATATATATATATATATATATATATATAATTCTATATATGCCCATATATATATATATATATATATATATATATATATATATAACTGGACACATATAGCACAATATATATCTCTGTGTGTGTGTGTAAGGAAGTTGTGGGGGCTTTTTCCTTGTTTTAATCAACTTTACAAAATAGGAAAAAAAATCCTACATATATGAGTAATAATATACGAATTTCACGTTTAATTTATCATTTGATTTGTTTTTGTTGTTGTTTTTTACTAATGTTCACACGATATAAGGTCCGAGAACCACTCAATCTAGCGTGTTATTGAATGAGGTGAGTG